TGGTGACTCTGTTTTACGGATCTGGAATTGTGACCTACCTGAGACCCAAAGCTTTTTATTCAAGCAGCAGTAACAAACTGTTGTCTCTCTCTTACACACTGATGTCTCCCGTGATGAACCCTTTGATTTACAGCTTGAGGAACAAAGAGGTGAAACAAGCCTTGAAAAGACTGATAGCCAAAAAGATAAGTATGTGACATGTTTGGAAATGATAGTAAATTAAAGCTGTGATATTGTGTGCATTAGTGGAAGGAGAACATGATTTGCCACCATCACTTACCCAAAAATTCATATCTACCTATTTAATATTTTTTTTTCTTCTAAAAGAGGTAATTTTCACATCATTTTCCATGTCATTTTAAGGTATGCTTGGCATACAGATCAAATTAGTTGCATACTATTGTGTCCTCTATGTCCTGTCCGTTGATACAGAAGTAGATCTGTACTCTGCGGAAGCGTTTACTTGGGGTAAGAGGAAACTCACAATATTCTCTGAATGTTGTGAAAACATTTCTGCAGAGCTTATCTAAAAAAGAAATGATCAGAGAAGAGGACAATGAATCTAAGGAGAGGCATTCAACAAGTATCCCAGGCACTGATCGTCGGGAGAGTTCTGCTGAAGGTGTTTTCCAGTTGAGCTCTTCAGCTCTACTCTGTGAAGAAAGTTTATTTGAAGGCCTGAAGGGGTAATGATTCAGGTCAAATATCTTGAACATAAAGAATTGTGGCTTGGCTGATCACCTTGTTCTCCACTGGTATTGAATGAAGTGAGAGAGATAAAGTAAAACCACAGTTTATGTGTTCTAAAACAGATTTCTGCTGTAGTAAGAGAGAAATTATCACTTAGACATCTCCATTGCTGTGTTTTGCTTGTGTGTGAAGTTTATGTAGATAGGTTTATGTAAAAATACCTGTATTTTAGGCTTCTGAATTGAGAGCAAAAAACCAATGTCCCTTTTTGCACAAATAAAGGTTTGATTGTAGTATGAAAGAAACTACTTGAGTGTTAAGGAATAGCCGCCGGGAGCTGGCTTGAGAGCTGTCATTTTAAAAATGAAGGCTAAGACTTCATTTTTTCCCCCTTTTTTTCTGCATACTTGTGACCACACACATCTGTGTGTCACATGGTTGCACTCTGTGTGTGTGTGTGGCTATAAGCATGTTTTCTCACATGTCTCTGTGTACATGGCTGTGCAATTCTTTCCGTCCACTTGTGGTGTCAATGGATGAGATCAAAACGAGAGCAAGAGTCCAACTAAAACCAATGCCCGAGGGGAAGGGTGTATGAGGAGAAATGAACTCATGGGTATGAGGCAGCTAGAGAACCAGCTGTTCTAACCCCCATTTCCCACCAGAAGGCTTCAAATGTGTCCATGGACGTGGAAAGCCAGACTGCAATAGAAGGAAGAAAGTTATTGACTGGAAGAAACCAGAAGTTGCCTAGAGGAGGAATTCATCAGGGAAGAAGCTCCCAAGACAGACATTTCCACATCTCACAATGTCCTTCCTTCTGCCACTACCAACCCCTGGGGGAAAGAGCATCTTTCCTTGACCCCATCAGGGAACTGAGCAGGCTTTGGGATGTGTGACCTTGAAGCAGACATGCCTTTTTGCCAGGGCCAGTTGCTGGTCATTCACACTCGGATTTCAGTGTTGGACATGAAGGTCTTTGGAACTAGAGACCAAAGGACTCATGAGCTCTTTGGCTTTCCTGGGCACAGCAGTGTGACATCAGGATGGCAGTCCCCTGACTTCAATGCCTGCTTAGACCAAGGTGTTAGTCCTTTTCCAGTTCAACACCTCCTCAGTAAGATGCTGGCTGGCACAGCTTTGCACACACATGAATTCACAGAGGTCCACACACACAGATGTCCACACAGACAAACACATGTGCTTCCACATAAGTAGTTGTGGGATTAAGAGAGGAGGCACTGGGGTTCACCCAGGCAGGGAAGGGCTGGAGCACCTTAGATTACAGTAAAGCCCCATAGTGTATCTTGAGGATCCCAGAGACTTCTCAGGTACAGCAGGAGGCCAAACAGAGCAGCATTAGGAGAAAATATCCAAACCCTGTAAGTGAGGCAGAGAAGAAGCTGCACCAGGGGTGGTTTAGACCAGAGATTAGGAACAATTCCTTCCCCAAAGGGTGCTCAGGCATTGGAACAGGCTGCCAGGGCAGTGCTGGAGTCATCGTCTGGAAGCATTCACACACGGTGTAGATGAGGCCCTCAGTGCCATGGCCTTGGCAGTGGTGGGAAACGGTTGGACTGAAGGATCATAGAGGTCTTTTCCAACTGGGTTGATTCTATGAATCCATGATTCTATGTGACATCCTCATGGACAAGAGCCTCGGGGTGTGGGGCTGAGGACTTCAGGGCTGGAAGCAGCTGAGCCACTCCCTGCAAAGAAAGACACAAACAACCCCACCAGAATGCCACAGCCTTGCATCATGTGCCTGCACAGGATCCCTGTGGCTCTTGGTCTGCATCTTCTGCCTGTTCTAATGTGTTTCTGCCCTGGAAATCTTTGGGCTCATGTTCCCAGCCCTCCATGAGGGAATGGCATACTAGGAAGGAGAAAATTAAAAGGTAGCACTGTAGGAAATCAAAACACAGTCTGCACCATTAGCTGGGGCATCTTGCTTTGTAAATTAGCGTGTCAGAAGATTACTACCTCCACAAAGAGTGTCTGTGGACCTGGGCAAGTGCAGGACCAGTAAAAGAGCCAGTAGAACTCCTTGCTCCTTCCCTCCTTCACTTCTCTTGTCTCCTTCCACATAGATGACAAGGTGAGGGAAGATCTTTCTCCCCTCCAGGATGAGGTCTTGCCTCAATGGCCATCTCAGATGGTACCAACTCTACCCACTGCTGGGCTTCAAGCTCCTTCTTATGGGACATTGAATGTGGAAGAGTGTTTGGCTTGGAGAAACCCACAGCGCAGAGAGGCTGTGGCTGCCCCATCCCTGGCAGTGTTCAAGGCCAGGTTGGACACAGGGGCTTGGAGCAAGCTGCTCTAGTGGAAGGTGTACCTGCCCATGACAGGGGTTGGAGCTGGATGAGCTTTAAGGTCCCTTCAACTCAAACCATTCTATGATTCCATGATCCTTGTGCTCTGAGGAGTCTGTCCTTGAAGGTTAACCAGCCCTCCTGGGACCCTCTTAGCACCAGGGCATTTTACAATGCATCCTGCCAAGTAGCTAGGTCCCTGAAAACTTGAAGATATGCTCTTCTAAAACACAGGGCAGTAGTCATCCTGTTCTCTTGGTCAGTCCTTTGAGGATCTTTAAGCTCCACATGGTCAAGGCAGGCAAGGCTGAACTGAAGCTACACGTTCTGTAATGACATAGCTTTGCACACACACACCTCACCTTATTCTCTCTGTACTAATAGTTAGAATCATAAAATCATAGAATAGGGTTGGAAAGGATAAGGTCATGCAGTTCCAACCCCCCTGCCATGGGCAGGGACACCTCACACTAAACCATGTCACCCAAAGCTCTGTCCAACCTGGCCTTGAACACTGCCAGGGATGGGGCAGCCACAGCTTCTCTGGGCACCCTGTGCCAGAGCCTCAACACCCTTACAGGGAAGAATTTCTTCCTTAGATCTAACCTGACCTTCCCCCATTTCAGTTTGAACCCATCACTCTTTGTCTATCACTTCAGTCCCTAATGAAGGTCCCTCTCCAGCATCCTTGTAGGCCCCCTTCAGATGCTGGAAGCTGCTCTGAGGTCTCCACACAGCTTCTCTTCTCCAGGCTGAACAGTTCTAACTTTCTCAGCCTGGCTCCACAAGGGAGCTGCTCCAGCCCCTTACCATCCTCATGGCCTCCCCTGGACCTGCTCCAACAGCTCCATGTCCTTCTTACAGTGAGGACCCCAGAACCGTACACAGTGCTGCAAGTGGGGTCACACGAGAGTAGAGTAGTTGCTTTTAGTTATTTCCCACGCTAAAGGTCTCAAGACCACATTACAATTCAGTACCAGACACTTTGCAATTCCAGTCTCTGGGACATGGCTATTTCAGACATCTGCATGTCAGCAGAGCAAGCACTGAGTTCCTGGCCAGGTTCACATACCACAGCTGCAGTAAGGAGGCTAACATCCAGCCTGGCAGCCAATTCAGAGAATTGCTTTGCTGCTCTTTAATTGGCCTATGTGAAGAGATATCATTATCCATCTGCAACAAGCAGATAAGATCCCCTGGAGACCACACTCCCTGGGGCACACAGAGGGAAGACAGCAAAAAGTTTCCTCGGTGTGGCCAGACTGAACTTCAGTGTGTTAATGAGGTGGGTGTGGGGATGGCTTTATGCTAATGATGCTGTGACTGATGTATGCCCTCACTATATGGAGCTAAACTGCAGAGACTTCACCCTGCGTGTGTGTGTCTGCATGCACAAATCCCCCCCCTTTGTGGATGTACAGTGGTGGCTTTGTGTGCAGGGGGGAAGAAAATCAGGAGCCCGAGCTCTCGATACCTATTAGGGTGGACAGTGAGGAAACAATGTCAGGCAGCTGTGTACAGCTTGAAGTGAGTCCGTGAGATGGGAGCTTCTCCTGACATCACAGCATCCAGAGCTCCTCCAATAAATCAACCTCTTTCTAATGTTCTCCCTCAGCCAGAGGGGATCGTGGCTTCATTTAGAAGATGGTGCATGAAGAGAGGTCGTTTGGATCATTTCCATGGTGAGTGGTGAGTGAAGCCTGCCCAAGACATACGACATACGTATGCTGTATGTATAGACTTCCAATCCCTTGCATGCTTAAGGAGAGCCACATTAAAAGGGATTTCTCTGCTCTTTGGCCACATGAGGCTTCTGGTATGTAAATTCCTCAGGACACAGGTGAAGCCCCCTGGTTCACCTGGCTTCTCAGCAGAGCTGCCCTGGGAGGGAATCACCTCAGAGAATTTTGCCTTCAACCACTGGGAAACTAGATGACCTTTATAGTCCCTTCATACTCAAACCATTCTATGATTCTGGGAAGTTGAGATGTCCAGTTTACTTGTCCAAGCTGCTTGCTGGACTCCTGCACTAGTCCTTAAAGACAATCTGGAACTTCTAGAGGGCCTTGAGCCGTGTATATGAGGCGAGATAAGCCATGTCTCTTTCCCAAGTGCCTCTTCTCTGTCCAAAGAAGAGCCAGGGGTAAGCTGAGGAGGTGAGATAAGTGTGCTTCAATCATACATCTTTGCACTTGGTCAGCAGAAGTCCTTCCTCTGTCTGAGATGGCAAAACTAGAGAGGTGAGCCTTACCCCTAGTAAGGGCTAAGCTATGCTGAGAAGCAGATGTCAGTGGGGGTAATGGAGGTATATGCAGAAGCTTCCTATGGTGAGGCTTGGAGGAAAGCAAACGTACAGGACTACAACTCCTTCACTAATGACTGTTCATTTGGCGCTATAGGCCTGAGTTTCAGGGTCAGATCTAATTGTCCAAACATGTTTCTGCAGGGAAGGATTTTCCTGGCAATTTTCAGTTAGGATAGATGCTGTTTTCCCATGGTCTGCACAAACTCCTTTTTGGGGCTGGATTTGTTTCACTACCGGTAGCATCTGCAGGACCAGCGGGGGCATGCAAACTCACACACAAACATCCTGTTTTGCAGATGGACCTCAACACCTGGGGGCACACAGCGAATGGGACAATCGTGGAAGAATTTATCCTTCTCGGCTTCCCAGGCACGTGGCGTTCCCGGCTCTCCTTTGCGATCGTGTTCGCACTGATGTACTCCCTGACAGTAACAGGCAACGCGTCCATCATAGCCCTCGTGTGGATGAACAGGAATCTCCATACCCCAATGTACTTCTTCCTCTGCAATCTCTCCTTTCTGGAGATCTGGTACACTACGGGTGTTGTTCCCAAAGCCATTGGAGTCATGCTGGGGACTAGCCAGACCATCTCCTTCAGTGTCTGCATCTTCCAGTTGTTCTTTCTTCTCTCCCTAGGCTCCACTGTTTTCTCTTGTCTGTCATGGCCTATGACCGCTACTTAGCCATATGCTACCCTCTGAGATACAGCTCCCTCATGAACAGTGTCATCTCTGCTCGGCTGGCACTCAGCTCCTGGCTGGGAGGCTTCCTGGCCATCTCACTTCTGGCCTTTCTGACATCCAGGCAGACATTCTGTGGGCCAGACGTCATCAACCATTTCTTCTGTGATATAGATGCCTGCCTTGCCCTCTCCTGTAGTGACAGGTGGCCCGTGGAGCTGGCGACTTTCCTTGTCTCCATAATGGTTGTGGTGGCCTCCTGTGTGGTCATCCTGGTCTCCTACATATACATTATCTATTTCATCCTCAGGATCCAGTCAGCCCACGGCAGGAAAAAGGCCTTTTCCACTTGCTCTGCCCATCTCAGTGTCGTCACGATCTGGTATGGCTCTATCATCTACCTATACGTCAAGCCATCAGCCCAGAACAACATGGATGTGAAAAAAATCGTGAATACCCTTAACACAATTGTAACTCCTTTGTTGAACCCCTTCATTTACACATTCAGAAACAAAGACGTGAAGCAAGCTCTGGGGAGGGCTTTCCAGAAGAAGTGAAGCAGGTTTTCAGAAGACCTCAGTGTGAGCTTACAGTGTGCCTGGGCATCACAGGCAGTTAGAAGCCACAGTGAGCTCATCTCACTCACCTTAAAGTCCTCTTAGTCTGGGCTGAGTCTTGACTCTACGATTCTCCTTGATTCTATAATTCTAATGCTCCTCTCACAGTGCTCTAAGGACCAGCACTTGGGGAAGGTCACAAACCCCATCAAGAAATAGTTCTCTGCCAGAACATTGGAGGAGGGGTCCTCCTCCTACAGGCTTGTATTACAATTTACTCAGTGCTCCATTTTGTCAGAGATTCATCTGAATCCCTAAAGAAGTGCCAGCAGCTGGCTCATTTCCCCATTTAGTGTGATGTTTTCTGGCTGCAGCTATGCCCTATTCTTTTCTCTGTCTGAAGAACGGGGGTAAGTTGAGGAGCCGAGGTAAGGTTCATCACACATCTTTCCACTTGGTCAGCAGAATCCCTTCCCCTGCCTATGAGATGGCAAAACCACAGAGGTGAGCCTTACCCCTAGTAGCTGTGCTGAGAAACTTGGTTCTGGTTCAAGATAAAATCTACACTTTCTGGTATAACCTATGGCCATTATTCCTGGCATAGGACTGGCAGCAAAACTCACACTGCTCTTCTTTCCTCTCCTCAGCCCCTGTATGTACCTTATTAGTTTTTATTAAAACATTCAAATTGCTGTGCTTCATGCTAGATGTGTCAGGACATTTCCACATCTAAAACCCCACGTATGATTTTAATAGTCCATTGTTCCGCTCATTTTGGGCTCTGTTGTGGAAACACTTTAATGCGATTGGCAAAGTCCTCAAATTGCAGAGCTGTGGGAGGCTGGCTGGGTAACAAGTCTGTCTTTGCATTCATTGAGAGGGCATTAGCACTTCCAAAGGGCACTTGCTTTCCACCTTCCTATGATTTTCATTTCAGAACAGATGAATCATGTTCTCCAAGCTCTTCTTTCTGCACACTGACAGGGAAGGCAGTCCATGCAACCACTTCCCAAGGAGGAGGCCTCAGCATGGCAGATAAACGTATATGAACAGTGTGGGATTGATTTCACCTGTAGAGCCCTCCAAATGAGATGATTGAGTCTGGGCTGAGCATCTACTTCTCCCTTCCAGAAGCAGTGGTGCTTCCGGAGGCGAGTCAACAACCCCCTTTGTTCAACTGAGCTTGGGCACTTGGATTATAGACCTGCAGCCAGGCCCAGGCACCAGTGCCCAAGGACAGGCTGATGCTCACCTTTGGACAGCCCACTGAGGCTGGAGAACAAGTGTGTGCCTGGGTCTGTCCTCAGCCATCACTGCTTGTCATTCTTTATGTTAGGGGCAGAATTGTGTCCATGGTGCTGAAGCCCTCTGCATCCCTGCAGAGCAACCAAAAGCAGGATCTGAAATGTCCGAAGAACACTATACACAGTAGATTGCAGGTTACCATCCATTCCCCATCAATGCTGTCTAGAGCTCTCTGAGATAAATAGGGGCATGCAAAGACTCCAACAGGGTTGCCAGAGCAGACCCATGTCACCTGGGAGAGGCAGGCGACCCTGAAACAGCAGCAGCACAACAACAAAGTACCCTAGGCTTTCTCAGGTGAAACAGATGACCAACAGACTCCATTTCATAGGGTGGGATCCAGATGGAAAGCCAGCACCCTCCATCTGAGCTTCCACGTGCAGTGCTGGGTGAGATTGCCTGAGAATAGGTCCCCAGAACCATTCCTGACTGAGAAATCCCAAGCCTTTCATGCCTGTGCTCAGAAGAAGCCTTCATTGGGAAACAGGCATGGCCCAAACCTGGAAATGAAAAGGCAGCAGTGTTGGAAACCAAAGCACAGCCCATATCATTAGCTGCAATGGTTTGCATCAAGATGAGCTTGTCAGATAATTGTTACCTCTGCAAAGGCACCTCTGGTCCTGCGGCAGTGATGGGCAGATATAAAAGGCAGGCCAGGTCCCTGCTCTCTCATCCACTTCTCTGGCCTCCTTCTCCTTGAGAACCAGGTGAGTCTGAAGCCCCTTGTCCTCCTCTTAGAAGCGCGGTCTATCCTCAGTGAAACTCTCAGCTGATGTTAGCCTTATCCTGTGCTGGGGCTTGCAGCGTTGTGCATAGGTGAGAGAAGTGGGGAGAATGTCTGCCTAGAGAAAGGCTGGGAAGTGGCTGAAGGGGCTTTTGGTTTACAAATTCCAAGAGACCCTCCCTGTCCCAGGCTGCTCTATATCGGCAATGGAGACCCTGTGGCACCTGGCGCAGCTTCCAGCTGCCCGCTCCTTAGCGGCCTTGGCTCTTTGCCACAGGAAAGCCAGGCTGCTCCTCATCCACTCTTGTGCTCATCCTCTGCTTGCCCCTGCCCTGTGTCCAGGTGAAGCTCCAGCATCCAGACATGTCCTGCTGCAACCCGTGCGTGCCCTGCCAGCCCTGCGGCCCGACCCCGCTGGCCAACAGCTGCAATGAGCGCTGTGTCAGGCAGTGCCAGAGCTCCACTGTTGTCATCGAGCCTCCTGCTGTGGTGGTGACCCTGCCCGGCCCCATCCTCAGCTCCTTCCCTCAGAACACCGTTGTGGGCTCCTCCACCTCCGCTGCCATTGGCAGCATCCTCAGCTGCGGTGGAGTGCCCATCAACTCCGGGTGCTGTGACCTCTCTGGCATTTCCCGACGCTATGGTGGCAGGAGGTACCTCCTCTGATAAACGTGCTGGGAGAGCCCCGGGAGACACCTGCAGGAACTCAGGGCATGGTGCTGGATAGAGGATCGATCTTCTGGATGTTGTTTTCAACACAGCTGAATGAGCTTTCCTTTCTCTCCCTTCTCCGTAGCCAAGAACCGCAGACTCTTGGCTTTCCCCAGAGATCCCTGCACTCGGTCTTTGTTTCCCTCTTTTAACTCATTAAAGTTCTGCTTCACTGGCAAGCCGGGCCTCCTTGTGGTCCTTCTCTTTGTGAAGCCTCTCCAGGCTGCCAAAGGGGAAGGGTGTTGCTAAGGAGTGGAAGGGGTTGAGGGCACAAGGAGACTTCTCCATTCACAAAGGACTGGGAGGTTGGGACGCCCAGCAGGAGCTGGAGCTTTTTAATACTGTCCCTTGGAGATGAGGGACATCCTTGGTTGCTCTACTGCCAGTGACTATCTGGCCTTCCCTTGCTGTGTCCACAAATGCACGCACGGCAGGAGGCCTTGAGGCATCAGCAAACCCATGACTTCTTGAGGGAGGTTATTCCTCTTGTTATTCTCAGAGCTGTGCTGGGGTGGCAGGGGCAGTGGGTGATCATAGAATCATGTCATAGAACAATTAGGATTATTTGCTCTGCATAATAACAGAAGTCGTAATGGAGGCAACAGTCTTTGGGAGAGCCAATGGCTTCTACTCCACCTTCCTCTTTTCTCCACGACCCAGTCAAGGTGCCATGACCAGCAGCCATGGGCAGGAGTCAGAGGGACGTGCTATTAGAAGGAGTTGTTGCTGAATGCCCCAAGGCTGGAGCCAAGTGTGTGGGAGGTGAGGGCATTCAGCACACAAAACGGGGACAGCGAAACTGTTTCTGAGGGGGATCAAATAGCTCTGACGCAGTGCACATGAGGGAATGTGGAGCTTAGCAAGGATAAGGTTACGGGTGCACAGACTCAGGCCTCTTGACTGCTTCAATCTCGCTCCAGAGAACTGTAACGGGGAAATGGGGGGGGAGAGGGTTATTTCCATGTAAATCCCATGCTCACAGTGAAGAACAACAGGGAGCATTACCTGAGACTGAAGACCACGGCCTACAAAGGAAATTTTCAAGTACCATTGAAAAGCACATCTATGTTTGCATTCATATAGAAGCCACATTCATTTGATCAAAGAAGATGAACACCTGAAATACAATGAGATCCTGCTGGGGGTGCTGGGTTCACAGGTAGTGGGGACTCCATAGCACAGCCTGAGTTGGCTGATACCAGTCCTAAGTGTTGGGTTACCTCACCACTGCAAGAGTGGAGAGAGCTGGGCCCTGCCAGGTCCTGAAGGAATGTATGAGGTAGGATCTCATCTGCCTGTGCCCGTGTGTGCTGGGCATGTAGGGGCAGTGTGCTGGGTGATGTAGGGGAGAGGAAGGCACAGATGAGGCTGTTGGTTGTCCTCCGGCAGTATTGTCTCCTCATGCCCACTCAAGACACCCTCTGAAGCCAGGTCTCCCTGATGACCATTGCCGGTGGAGTAGTCAGGGATGTTTTTACCACCTCCAAGGGGAAGCAGACTATAAGATTTCCCACAGAAGGAATAAGGACTCGGAGGCCCAGGCTTGGATGCAGCACAACTTTAATGAGGGTAAAGAAGAAAAGGAGGTGGCTCCCAGGGAGCGCCAGGGGCAGCCACCAAGATGCGGTGCAGCTACTGCAGGGTGTCCGTCTGCCTGTCCCTCACTGGGAGGGAGAGAGGGAGGGAGGCCAAGAGCTCCCCACGGGGCTGGTGCGGGAGGTGGAGACAGGAAAGGAATAGAGAGGACAGTGGAAGGAGCAAACAATGCCCCAGTACACTATCTCTTGATCAGCACAATTTTCTTACAACTTCAGAGGTTCCAGACTGAAAAAGGAGCCAGCAGCTTTAGCAGGGTCTGCACCTGGAGCCGCAGTAGCGGTTGGTGATGCAGGAGAGGTCGAAGCCCCCGGAGTTGATGGGCACTCCCTCACAGCTGAGGATGCTGCCAACGGCGGCGGAGGTGGAGGAGCCCACAACGGTGTTCTGAGGGAAGGAGCTGAGGATGGGGCCGGGCAGGGTCACCACCACGGCGGAGGGCTGGATGGCGATGGTGGAGCTCTGGCACTGCCTGACACAGCACTCATTGCAGCTGTTGGCCAGCGGGGTCGGGCCGCAGGGCTGGCAGGGCACGCACGGGTTGCAGCAGGACATGTCTGGATGCTGGAGCTTCACCTGGACACAGGGCAGGGGCAAGCAGAGGATGGGACACGGCAGCAGCAGCTCTGCACCCAAGCCTGGGCAAGCCAAGGCACCTCCTGGCCCAGCACACGCTGACCACCTCCAAGCCCAGCAGCCGCCTCAGCTCAGTCCCAGCCTCTCTCTGCACCAGCCCTTCTCTCCCCTTCCCTCTGCCCCCCCACCGAGAAGCAGCTCCCAGGCCTGCGCTAGCACAGCCCCCATCAGCTGAGAGCCCCGGGGAGGAACGACCTGCTCTGGAAGCAGCAGCACAAGAGGCTTCGCACTCACCTGATTGCCAGGAGAAGGAGGCCAGAGAAGTGGATGAGGAGCACAGACCTGGGCTGCCTTTTATAGTCGTCCTGCAGTGCCTCAGGCCCACAGGCACCTCTGTGGCAGCAGGAATTTCCTGACAAGCCCATGGCAAATGCAAACCCTCCCAGGTAATGGCAGGGGCCGTGTCCCGGTTTCCGGCACTGCTGCCTTTTCATTTCCCGGCTCATGTGCTTTGCCATAGGAAGGCTTCTGTAGGTGCCGGGATGAGAAGCCCAAGGGTTTGCAGAGGAGGAGCCCACAACTGTAGGCCCAGCACAGGTGTCCTGAGAGCACTGTTGGTGTTGCAGTAGGGTCCAGCCCTGCCAGCAGAAGCCCATCTGCACACAGCAATGGCCTTCCCTCAGAGAGCTGAGGGGAGCAAGAGGAAAGGCTGTGCCATGTCCTCTCCTGTGGCAGTCCTTGGGCATGCGGAAGAGAAGCACGAGAGCGGTGCCCATTTCCCACAGTGTGGCCACAAGCAAGCCCACAGGAATGAGCCAGGAGCACATCCCCTGCCTGCACGGGATGCACCAGCCCTTGATGGGAGGCTTCTTCTGTGCTCACGTGGTTCTGCCCCGGAAACCCTTGGGCTTCTCATCCCGGCACTGACAGAAGCCTTCCTATGGCAAAGCACATGAGCCGGGAAATGAAAAGGCAGCAGTGCCGGAAACCGGGACACGGCCCCTGCCATTACCTGGGAGGGTTTGCATTTGCCATGGGCTTGCCAGGAAATTCCTGCTGCCACAGAGGTGCCTGTGGGCCTGAGGCACTGCAGGACGACTATAAAAGGCAGCCCAGGTCTGTGCTCCTCATCCACTTCTCTGGCCTCCTTCTCCTGGCAATCAGGTGAGTGCGAAGCCTCTTGTGCTGCTGCTTCCAGAGCAGGTCGTTCCTCCCCGGGGCTCTCAGCTGATGGGGGCTGTGCTAGCGCAGGGCTGGGAGCTGCTTCTCGGGGGGCAGAGGGAAGGGGAGAGAAGGGCTGGTGCAGAGAGAGGCTGGGACTGAGCTGAGGCGGCTGCTGGGCTTGGAGGTGGTCAGCGTGTGCTGGGCCAGGAGGTGCCTTGGCTTGCCCAGGCTTGGGTGCAGAGCTGCTGCTGCCGTGTCCCATCCTCTGCTTGCCCCTGCCCTGTGTCCAGGTGAAGCTCCAGCATCCAGACATGTCCTGCTGCAACCCGTGCGTGCCCTGCCAGCCCTGCGGCCCGACCCCACTGGCCAACAGCTGCAATGAGTGCTGTGTCAGGCAGTGCCAGAGCTCCACCATCGCCATCCAGCCCTCCGCCGTGGTGGTGACCCTGCCCGGCCCCATCCTCAGCTCCTTCCCTCAGAACACCGTTGTGGGCTCCTCCACCTCCGCCGCCGTTGGCAGCATCCTCAGCTGTGAGGGAGTGCCCATCAACTCCGGGGGCTTCGACCTCTCCTGCATCACCAACCGCTACTGCGGCACCAGGTGCAGACCCTGCTAAAGCTGCTGGCTGCGTCCTCAGGCAGGAACATCCACGACCTCACACCATGGATCTGCACAGGAGATAGAGCTTCGCGGCGCTGTTTCCTTCTCCCACTGTCCTCTCCATTCCTTTCCTGTCTCCACCTCCCACACCAGCCCCATGGGGACCTCTTGGCCTCCCTCCCTCCCTCCCTCTCAGTGAGGGACAGGCAGACGGACACCCTGCAGGAGCTGCACCGCCTCTTGGTGGCTGCCCCTGGTGCTCCCTGGGAGCCACCTCCTTTTCTTCTTTACCCTCATTAAAGTTGTGCTGCATCCAAGCCTGGGCCTCCGAGTCCTTATTCCTTCTGTGGGCAATCCTCAAGTCTGCTTCCCCTTGGAGGTGACAAAGACATTTCTGGCTAAACTACATAAGTGAGGGGATGTCTCTAAAGGGTGGCAGTAGTTGGCATGGTGAGACAATGCTGCCTGAGGACAGCCCACTGCCTCTGCCTTCCTGTCCCCTACATCACCCAGCACACCACCCTTACATGCCCAGCACACACGGGCACAGGCAGATGAGATCCTGCCTCATGCAGTCCCTCAGCACCTGGCAGGGGCCAGCTCTCTTCAGGCATGAACTGGTGAGTTATCCCAACACTTAGGACTGGCAGCAGCCAGCCCAGGCTGTCCAACAGGGTCCCCACTACCTGTGAACCCAGCACCCCCAGCAGGATCTCATCCTATTTCAGGTGCTCATCTTCCCTGATGAAATGAATGTGGCTTCCTTAAGAATGCAAACGTAGATGTGCTTTTCAATGATACTTGAAAATTTCCTTTGTAGGCCTTGGTCTCCAGCCCTGGCTAATGCTCTAAATCCTGGCCCCTCTCATAAAATCATAGAATCAGTGAGGTTGGAACAGACCTTTGAGATCATCAAGTGCAACCCTTCCCCAGCACTGCCAGATCCACCAGTAATCATTGTCACTAAGGCCCTCATGTGCACGTTGTTTAAGGCTCCCGGGGCTGTTCAAATTGCACCCCTTCCCTGGGCAGCCTGTTCCAATTCCTGATCGCACTCTTGATGTAGAAATTGGTCCTAATCTCCACTCTAAACCTCCCCTGGTGTAGCTTGAGGCATTTCCTTTTGTCCTATAACTTCTTACCGGGCAGAAGAGCCCAACCCCACCTGACTACAACCTCCTGTCAGGTAGCTGGAGAGAGAGATAAGGTCCAGACTAAAGTTCCCTATGTGCTTTAGCTGTTCCCCATCACACTGTGCTCCAGGCCCTTCACCAGCTTCACTGCCCTTCTCTGGCCCCACTCCAGCACCTCAATGTGTCTTTTGTAGTGAGAGGGACAGAAATGATCACGGGATTTTAGGTGCAGCCTCAAATGCCCTGGTCCTGCTAGCCACACTATGTCTGTTCCAGACTAGGATTCCCTTGGCCTTCTTGGCTGCCTGGGCATTACATGGGCCGTGTTCACATCCACCAACCAGCACCCCCAGGTCCTTTTCATGGGCAGTTTCCAGCCACTCTTCCCCAGGCCTGGAGCTTTGCAGGGGGTTGTTGTGGCCCAAACTCAGGCTACAGCACTTTGCCTTGTTGAACCTCTTCCATTGGCCACAGCCCACGGATCCAGCTTGTCCAGATCCCCCTCCAGAGATTCCTAGCCTTCGGAAGATCAACACTCCCACCCAACTTGGTGTTGTCCACAAAGTCACTGAGGGTGCCCTCCATCCCCTCACCCAGATCACCACCGAAGATTGTAAACAACACTGGCCCCAAGACCAAACTCTGAGGATCACCACTAGTAATCAGTCGCCAACTAGATGTGACGCCATTTATGACCACTATTTGGAATCCGCCTTCGAGCCATTTTCAATCCAGCAAGGAATCCACACTTCCAGGCCATGAGGAACCACTTTCTCCAGCAGAACGATATGGGACAGTGTCAAAAGCTTCAGGAAAGTCAAATAGACAATGTCCACAGCCTTTCCCTCATCACCTAGGTGGGTCACCCTGTCATAGAAAGAGTTCAGGCTGGTCAAACAGTACATGCCCTTCAGGAACCCGTGTGAAATGGGTCTGATACCTACATTTTCCAGTAAGTGCCTTATGGTCTCACCAAGGATCATCTGCTCCATGACCTTCCCCAGCACCGAGCTCAGGCTGACAGGCCTGGAGCTTTGGGAAAATCCTTCCTGCCTTTTTCTAAAGAAACATCACAGTGGCCAACCTCCAACATCTGGGGATCTGCCCACTACACCAGGACTGCTGATCAGTGATGGAGAGTGGCTTGGCACGCTCCTCTGCCAGATCCTTCAGCCCTCTTGCTTGGAACCTTCCAGACCCATAGACAGGTGTATGTCTAAGTGGAGCACCACTTATTCCTGGATTGTGGGGATTTTTATCAGCTCCCCATGTCTGTCACCTAACCTGGGGAACTCTGGTGTTACCACTGTCATTTTCCTAAGTGCTGGGTTACCTCAGCCCTGCATGCCTAGAGAGAGCTGGGCTCTGCCAGGTGCAGAAGGACTGCATGAGGTAGGATCTCATCTGCCTGTGCCCATGTGTGCTAGGCATGCAGAGATAGCGTACTAGCTGAGGTAGGAGAGAGGATGGCAGAGAGAAGATCAGAGAAGAAGCCGTGTGCTCTTCTGAGCAGTCTTGTCTCCTCATGCCCACTCCTGCCACCCTTCGGAGCCATGCTCTCACTGATGGCCATTGTCGGTGGAGTAGCCACCGATGTTTTTACTACCTCCAAGGGGAAGCAGACTTGAGGATTTCCCACAGAAGGAATAAGGACTCGGAGACCCAGGCTTGGATGCAGCACAACTTTAATGAGGGTAAAGAAGAAAAGGAGGTGGCTCCCAGGGAGCACCAGGGGCAGCCACCAAGAGGCGGTGCAGCTCCTGCAGGGTGTCCGACTGCCTGTCCCTCACTGAGAGGGAGGGAGGGAGGGAGGCCAAGAGGTCCCCACGGGGCTGGTGCGGGAGGTGGAGACAGGAAAGGAATGGAGAGGACAGTGGGAGAAGGAAACAGCGCCGTGAAGCTCTATCTCCTGTGCAGATCCATGGTGTGAGGTCGTGGAGGTCCTTGCCCGAGGATGCTGGCAGCAGCTTTAGCAGGGTCTGCAGCAGTAGCGGTTGGTGATGCAGGAGAGGTCGAAGCCCCCGGAGTTGATGGGCACTCCCTCACAGCTGAGGATGCTGCCAACGGCGGCGGAGGTGGAGGAGCCCACAACGGTGTTCTGAGGGAAGGAGCTGAGGATGGGGCCGGGCAGGGTCACCACCACGGGGGAAGGCTCGATGACGACGGTGGAGCTCTGGCACTGCCTGACACAGCACTCATTGCAGCTGTTGGCCAGCGGGGTCGGGCTGCAGGGCTGGCAGGGCACGCACGGGTTGCAGCAGGACATGTCTGGATGCTGGAGCTTCACCTGGACACAGGGCAGGGGCAAGCAGAGGATGGGACACGGCAGCAGCAGCTCTGCACCCAAGCCTGGGCAAGCCAAGGCACCTCCCAGCCCAGCACACGCTGACCACCTCCAAGCCCAGCAGCCGCCTCAGCTCAGTCCCAGCCTCTCTCTGCACAAGCCCTTCTCACCCCTTCCCTCTGCCCCCCGAGAAGCAGCTCCCATCCCTGCGCTAGCACAGCCCCCATCAGCTGAGAGCCCCGGGGAGGAACGACCTGCTCTGGAAGCAGCAGCACAAGAGGCTTCGCACTCACCTGATTGCCAGGAGAAGGAGGCCAGAGAAGTGGATGAGGAGCACAGACCTGGGCTGCCTTTTATAGTCGTCCTGCAGTGCCTCAGGCCCACAGGCACCTCTGTGGCAGCAGGAATTTCCTGGCAAGCCCATGGCAAATGCAAACCCTCCCAGGTAATGGCAGGGGCCGTGTCCCGGTTTCCGGCACTGCTGCCTTTTCATTTCCCGGCTCATGTGCTTTGCCATAGGAAGGCTTCTGTAGGTGCCGGGATGAGAAGCCCAAGGGTTTGCAGAGGAGGAGCCCACAACTGTAGGCCCAGCACAGGTGTCCTGAGAGCACTGTTGGTGTTGCAGTAGGGTCCAGCCCTGCCAGCAGAAGCCCATCTGCACACAGCAATGGCCTTCCCTCAGAGAGCTGAGGGGAGCAAGAGGAAAGGCTGTGCCATGTCCTCTCCTGTGGCAGTCCTTGGGCATGCGGAAGAGAAGCACGAGAGCGGTGCCCATTTCCCACAGTGTGGCCACAAGCAAGCCCACAGGAATGAGCCAGGAGCACATCCCCTGCCTGCACGGGATGCACCAGCCCTTGATGGGAGGCTTCTGCTGCGCTCACGTGATTCTGCCCCGGAAACCCTTGGGCTTTCATCCCGGCACTGACAGAAGCCTTCCTATGGCAAAGCACATGAGCCGGGAAATGAAAAGGCAACAGTGCCGGAAACCGGGACACGGCCCCTGCCATTACCTGGGAGGGTTTGCATTTGCCATGGGCTTGCCAGGAAATTCCTGCTGCCACAGAGGTGCCTGTGGGCCTGAGGCACTGCAGGACGACTATAAAAGGCAGCCCAGGTCTGTGCTCCTCATCCACTTCTCTGGCCTCCTTCTCCTGGCAATCAGGTGAGTGCGAAGCCTCTTGTGCTGCTGCTTCCAGAGCAGGTTGTTCCTCCCCGGGGCTCTCAGCTGATGGGGGCTGTGCTAGCGCAGGCCTGGGAGCTGCTTCTCGGAGGGGGTCAGAGGGAAGGGGAGAGAAGGGCTTGTGCAGAGAGAGGCTGGGACTGAGCTGAGGCGGCTGCTGGGCTTGGAGGTGGTCAGCATGTGCTGGGCCAGGAGGTGCCTTGGCTTGCCCAGGCTTGGGTGCAGAGCTGCTGCTGCCGTGTCCCATCCTCTGCTTGCCCCTGCCCTGTGTCCAGGTGAAGCTCCAGCATCCAGACATGTCCTGCTGCAGTCCGTGCGTGCCCTGCCAGCCCTGCGGCCCGACCCCGCTGGCCAACAGCTGCAATGAGTGCTGTGTCAGGCAGTGCCAGAGCTCCACCGTCGTCATCGAGCCTTCCCCTGTGGTGGTGACCCTGCCCGGCCCCATCCTCAGCTCCTTCCCTCAGAACACCGTTGTGGGCTCCTCCACCTCCGCCGCCGTTGGCAGCATCCTCAGCTGTGAGGGAGTGCCCATCAACTCCGGGGGCTTCGACCTCTCCTGCATCACCAACCGCTACTGCGGCACCCGGTGCAGACCCTGCTAAAGCTGCTGGCTGCGTCCTCAGGCAGGAACATCCACGACCTCACACCATGGATCTGCACAGGAGATAGAGCTTCGCGGCGCTGTTTCCTTCTCCCACTGTCCTCTCTATTCCTTTCCTGTCTCCACCTCCCGCACCAGCCCCGTGGGGACCTCTTGGCCTCCCTCCCTCCCTCCCAGTGAGGGACAGGCAGACGGACACCCGGCAGGAGCTGCACTGCCTCTTGGTGGCTGCCCCTGGTGCTCCCTGGGAGCCACCTCCTTTTCTTCTTTACCCTCATTAAAGTTGTGCTGCATCCAAGCCTGGGCCTCCAAGTCCTTATTCCTTCTGCTGCCACCCTTCCACTCTGTTCAGGGGAAAAGTCGGAGGTGGCAGGGATCAGCGTCACTGCGGTGGATTTTGTCACTTGTAAACTTATTAAATTAATTTCTTGTTTCATGAAGTTATAGAACCATAGAACATTTTGGTTTGGAAGAGACGTTAAACCTCATTTCATTCCAATTCCCCTACCACCAGTATGGACAGGTTCCATGATCGCAGCTTGCTCCAAGACCCTGTGTCCAACCTGGCCTTGAGCACTGCCAGGGAGCACCCTCACAGGGAAGAGCTTCTGCGTACAATTTCATCTAAATCTACCCTCCTCCTGTTTAAATCAGTTACTGTTGTCCTATTAGTACATGTTTTTTTGTCAAAAGCCCCTCTCCAGCTTTCCTGTTGTCCCTCTTTAGGCACTGGATGCTGCTTCCAGGTCTCCTGCAGCCTTCTCTTCTCCAGGCTGAACCATCCCAGCTATCTCAGCCTGTCCCCAGAGGAGACGATTTGAGTGCAAACATTCAGCCTATTTTTTACCAGCTATGTGGTCCTTCCATCGTATCCATGCCTCTCCAATTTAGAGACAAGGATGTTGTGCAGGACAGTGTCAAATCCCCCCTTGTAGAAGGCACCAGAATTTGTCAGGCGCTTCAATTCCCTGGATCTTCCTTTCCTCCTTTTCAAAAATGGGTGTAGTGCAGTCTATGGAGTAGAAAAGGCTTTGCTGCTGTATAAGAACTGCTCAGCTACAGTGAAAACATCCCTGGGTTATCCACACTCTTTTCAGCACAAATCCACATCGTAGCCCCTGAGAGCTACTATGAAGATGCTTAACCCTATCCCAGGCAAAACCAGCACACTCACTGACATGTCTTTCCAGCTTGACCCCAGGTATTTGGAAGGCAAGAGCCTGAGCCAGAACACACACAGGTTGACTTTAAGGTCTGTGTCCACTTGCAGCCCTATGAGCTTTTGGGATTCTGGAGAAAGGCTGGGATAGCTCTCCTGTCCAGAGTCTGCAGTGGCTGTGAAAGCAGAAGGCGAAAATGCAACCCTGTAAAGAGCAGATTTTTATCCTCTTGGTGACCTGATGGGCAGAATCCTTTGGGAAAGTGCCTGGAGGAGTGTCAAAGAGGCCCAGGGTGAATGTGGGATACAGCAGTTGAGATCTGATGATGATAACGTTAAGGAGATCACCATAATTACCTCCAGCACTTCCACTTCCTAAAGGATCTACCATGGACATTTTCCTTTGAAACTTCTATTTCTGTAATTGTGCCTCATGCTCTGTTGGACCCACTCCCCTGGGCTTGTGTGGCAAGGCTTTGGTAGCAGGAGGAGGAAGGGTGCCGGGGTGGTTTCTGTGAGAACAATCCAGGGGCTTCACCCATGTCTGATAGAGTCAGATCCAGCCAGCTCCAAAATGGGCTCGGTGCTGCCTAATGCTGAGCCCATCACTCTGGTGGTGTCTCTGTGGAAAGGTGTTTAAGAAAGGGCAGAACACTGCCCAGGAAGTGAGGGAAAACCCACTTGAGAACCAGTCCTGTAAACAGCAAGGCCAGGGCAGGAAGAGGTGGAGAAGGTGCTCCAGGTGATGGGGGAGAGATTCCCGTGCAGCCCAAAGGAAAGACCGTGGTGGAGCAGAAATCCACACTGCAGCCCATGGACGATTCCATGCCAGACCATGCTGATATTCCCTACAGGAACAATGGCTTGCGCAGAGATCGTGCTGAAGCAGGCTCCTGGCAGAGCTGTGTCCACTGGAAAATCCACATTGGAGCAGCCTACCCAGAAAGGACTTCAGCACATGAATAAGGCGTACACTGGAGCAGGCCTTGAAAGACTGCGGCCTAAACTAAAGGCTCATGATGCAGAAGAGGAAAAGTATGAAGAGGAAACAATGGCACAAAGGAACTGATGTGTAGTGACAGCAACACCCCGTTCCACCACTGTTGAGTCATAAATAAGGAAGACTGCCCTCGTCACCAGGAAAGCCATTTCCCTGGCCTTTTGTCTGGCTGTTGCAAATGAACTGGTGCGCTTCAATCTTAAGTGAAAACAAGAAATACGTTTACGACATCAAGAAATGACACCCCTGCTTCCTAAACCACTTCTCAGAGGTTAGTGTAGTTCCAGTGGATGCACACGTAGTCAAAGATTTAGCCAATGGTTTATGTCTAAATGGATATATAAGAACAGTGAAGCCATTGTGTCACTCAGAGGAGAAATAATACAGGAAACAGAAGAATTCCTGCAGAAGGAATAAGGACTCGGAGGCCCAGGCTTGGATGCAGCACAACTTTAATGAGGGTAAAGAAGAAAAGGAGGTGGCTCCCAGGGAGCACCAGGGGCAGACCCCAAGAGGCGGTGCAGCTCCTGCAGGGTGTCCGTCTGACTGTCCCTCACTGAGAGGGAGGGAGGGAGGGAGGCCAAGAGGTCCCCACGGGGCTGGTGCGGGAGGTGGAGACAGGAAAGGAATGGAGGTGGACAGTGGGAGAAGGAAACAGCGCCGCGAAGCTCTATCTCCTGTGCAGATCCATGGTGTGAGGTCGCGGATGTTCCTGCCTGAGGACGCAGCCAGCAGCTTTAGCAGGGTCTGCACCTGGAGCCGCAGTAGCGGTTGGTGATGCAGGAGAGGTCGAAGCCCCCGGAGTTGATGGGCACTCCCTCACAGCTGAGGATGCTGCCAACGGCAGCAGAGGTGGAGGAGCCCACAACGGTGTTCTGAGGGAAGGAGCTGAGGATGGGGCCGGGCAGGGTCACCACCACGGCGGAGGGCTGGATGGCGATGGTGGAGCTCTGGCACTGCCTGACACAGCACTCATTGCAGCTGTTGGCCAGCGGGGTCGGGCCGCAGGGCTGGCAGGGCATGCACGGGTTGCAGCAGGACATGTCTGGATGCTGGAGCTTCACCTGGACACAGGGCAGGGGCAAGCAGAGGATGGGACACGGCAGCAGCAGCTCTGCACCCAAGCCTGGGCAAGCCAAGGCACCTCCTGGCCCAGCACACGCTGACCACCTCCAAGCCCAGCAGCCGCCTCAGCTCAGTCCCAGCCTCTCTCTGCACAAGCCCTTCTCTCCCCTTCCCTCTGCCCCCCTCCGAGAAGCAGCTCCCATCCCTGCGCTAGCACAGCCCCCATCAGCTGAGAGCCCCGGGGAGGAACGACCTGCTCTGGAAGCAGCAGCACAAGAGGCTTCGCACTCACCTGATTGCCAGGAGAAGGAGGCCAGAGAAGTGGATGAGGAGCACAGACCTGGGCTGCCTTTTATAGTCGTCCTGCAGTGCCTCAGGCCCACAGGCACCTCTGTGGCAGCAGGAATTTCCTGACAAGCCCATGGCAAATGCAAACCCTCCCAGGTAATGGCAGGGGCCGTGTCCCGGTTTCCGGCACTGCTGCCTTTTCATTTCCCGGCTCATGTGCTTTGCCATAGGAAGGCTTCTGTCAGTGCCGGGATGAAAGCCCAAGGGTTTCCGGGGCAGAACCACGTGAGCGCAGCAGAAGCCTCCCATCAAGGGCTGGTGCATCCCGTGCAGGCAGGGGATGTGCTCCTGGCTCATTCCTCTGGGCTTGCTTGTGGCCACGCTGTGGGAAATGGGCACCGCTCTCGTGCTTCTCTTCCGCATGCCCAAGGACTGCCACAGGAGAGGACATGGCACAGCCTTTCCTCTTGCTCCCCTCAGCTCTCTGAGGGAAGGCCATTGCTGTGTGCAGATGGGCTTCTGCTGGCAGGGCTGGACACTACTGCAATACCAGCAGTGCTCTTGTGCTCTCAGGACACCTGTGCTGGGCTCTTGTGCCTCATCCCTGCTCTGTGCAGGTTCTGTGGGTCCTCAGGGAACACCAGGAGCATGTCTGGGGCCTGGTCCTTCCCTGCCCTACCTGAGCCCTGTTGTGCCAATGCTGTCCCAGCATCTCCTCAGCAGAGTCCCCACGTGCTGATGTTTCTGGCATTGTGTGAGCGTACAGATATGGGCAGGGTTCCATGAGCACGCGTGTCTCGGTCCCTCCTCGCGTGACCCTCATCATGAGGGTACAGGCACACCATCGCTTGTGCTTGTGATACAGGTGAACCACCAAAAGCCTTTTCATGAGCAGATCCAGCAATGCCCCACTTTATATGTTCAGAACCCGTTGTGCGCTGAAAACAAGGCCCCAGGGCACATCCCGCTGTGCTGCTGAATGGTGAAGCCGTGAATGAAGGAGGGAATGGGGTCTGTGAAAAAGAGGGGGGATGGGGTGAAGGTATTTGGGGATGAGGTGAACCTATGTTCAGAGGCTTTGGAATTTCCTCCCCGTCCTACTCTTTTCTATTGGCGATAGGTTCAATGAATGTCCATCACGTCAGGTCTGTTTCAGCCCTGATCGCAATTGGTACTTATGTCTCTGTGTTTATCTCAACCCGTGACCTTTTTCTCCTGACTTTCTCCTCCTGTCCTCTTGGGCAAGGAGAGGGAGAAAGCAGCAGAGTGGCTCTGGGAGACAGCCAAGGTCCTTTTGGTTCTGCGCCCATTATGGCAACTGCCTGTGCTGTGAGTGTGTGTCTTGTATATGTTTTCTTCCTGATTTCTCTCGGTGCTTCCGGGAGCAGGCTCTTTCTTTCTCTGTTGCTCCCCTCGGAGGATGAAGGGCAATGATGTCACTTGGTCGTTGTGCTTGCCTGCCTGGGAACGTGCGACTTGCGGCAGGTTCCCAGCCATGGGCAGAGCACAGCCCCGCAACGCTCTTGGCACATCCTCACATGAACAGCAATACCCCAAACGCCACATCACCATGGCAGGACTTGTCAGGCACTCATCAGTGTCCTCTTGCAGGCGTATGTGAATAACCCTTTTGCCACGGGGTGGCTGTGTGCTGGCAGTTGGGGATGTGCAGTCTCGAGTGACATCCGCCCTGCACATCTGCGCACTGAACCCCTGGGGCTGCGTGGGGCACTCTATGGGGGTGATAGAGGAAGAGGCAACATGGCCTTGCTGTCCTTGTCCTCGGACACACGGCGTGTCTCTTCCTGCTGAAGATGGGTGGGAAGGCAAGGAGGAGAAGGAGGCTCTGGGCTCTAGCCAAGGTGATCTCTCTTACCATCCCCTCCTTGCATCCCCGCTGCCCCCTTCCCTCTGAGCCTTCTCCCCTGGCACAGCTCCATTGCACAGGAGCTGCCTCGGGTGCCGGTTGGGCTGCTGACATCCCAGGGCCTCCTGCAGCACTGGCATCTTTCCAAGTGGAAGAGAGCTCAGGTTGGCATCACACTCTGTAGGGCATGCTGGGAGCCCAAGGAGTATATTTCCACACTCCCAGTGCACTTGGAATGAGAAAGAATCCAGTGGTTCACACACTTGCCAGCATATCTCTTTGCTCCCTGGACAGCATTCGAGAGCATCCAGAGAGGAACGGACTACATAGAGCCAGAGACTGGGATGCATCAGAGTTTAATGAGTCCAAAGAGGGAAACGATGTCTCGAGAGGAGGCCACAGGTTAAGGGTTCCTATGAGCAGCCAAGGATCAGTGCCACACAAAAACCATTAGTGGGCAAGTTCCCCATCAGCTGTCTTCACTGGCCCTCAAGGCTGCAGGGGGCAGAAAGCAAGAAAGGCAAAGGAGGGAAAGCAGAGAGTGGAGGAAGGGAATGAGAGGCAGCGGCCGTGTTTGCAGAGAGCCCGGGCTGGCCCCTTGCCCAGGGCTGCCTCCCTTTGAGGAGGAGCGGGGCACGCTCAGCCCCTCTCCGAGGCACGGCCGCAGTCTCCGTCGTTCAGTCTGGCGTCATCTGCTGGGTTCGCGGGGCTCCTTGGCTGGGCTGTCAGCGGTGGCTTTAGCAGGGTCTGCACCTGGAGCCGCAGTAGCGGTTGGTGATGCAGGAGAGGTCGAAGCCCCCGGAGTTGATGGGCACTCCCTCACAGCTGAGGATGCTGCCAACGGCGGCGGAGGTGGAGGAGCCCACAACGGTGTTCTGAGGGGAGGAGCTGAGGATGGGGCCGGGCAGGGTCACCACCACCGGGGAGGGCTGGATGACGACGGTGGAGCTCTGGCACTGCCTGACACAGCACTCATTGCAGCTGTTGGCCAGCGGGGTCGGGCCGCAGGGCTGGCAGGGCCGGCAGGGCTGGCAGGGCTCGCACGTCTGGCACTTCTCAGGGCAGGACATGGCTCGGGGCTGCAGCTTCACCTGGCAGAGAGGGCAGGGAGGGAGCAGAGCACAGGGACCCGTGAGGAGCAGCCTGCAGAGACACCCAAGGGAGCACAAGGCACCTCCCGTGGGGAGCTGGAGCCTGCGCACGGGGAACAAGGGACCCTTTGCCTCAGCCCTGCCACACCTTCACTGAGCATCTTAGCACCAGTGTGCAGCCAAAGAGCCACCCCGGCCCATCCCCAGGCTCTCGGCATGACAGACCCTCTCTGCTTTGCCCTCTCCCACCGCCACCACCTCGGAGCACTAACACAGCACCAAGGAGCAGGTATCAGCGGAGAAGTCCCTGCAGGCTGCACCCTGTCCCATGGGAGGAGTGGGTGAGAATGGGGGCTCCAGCTCACCTGGTTCCCAAGGAGAGGTTGGAGGCAGAAGAGCTGGAGAGAGTGACCCATTGGGCTGGCTTTTATACTGCCCCCGCAGTGCCTCAGGCACAAAGGCAGGCACTGCACAGGCAACGATTGTCCTGCACGTTCCCGATGAACGGAAACATCGCAGGTAATGACACGGCACGTGCTGCTGATTCCCTCTATGCTGCCCTTGCGCTTCCAGGTTTACGTCATGTCTGTTCCCTCACTATTGCTTCTTCTGAGCGCTGGGATGAGAGGTGCCATGATTTCTGGGACAAGCGTGCATCAGTGTGGGCAGAAGACACAAAGCAAGTGCCAGAGGGGTCCATTGCAGGCCGGTGATGTCAGCCTGGGGTCACTGGGCTGGGTTTTGTATGATTCCACTGAGAGGAAGCGCCTCAGGTGCCAAAACACCAGTGATGCTCAATGCAATTGCTCAGCCCCCACTCACTGACAATCAGCTCAGCCCAAGCAGTGATCAGTCCCTTCCGGCTAACTCCCCACAGCTGCTGTCCCAACATGACATGGTAAGGAATATCGCTTTGGCTAGTTTGGGTCAAGTCCTGTCTGTTCCCTCCTGGCTTCCTGTGCTTCTCCTCACTGACAGAGCACAAATACTGAAAAGTCCTTGATCAGTATAAGAGCTACTGAGCAACAGCTAAACCATCAGTGAATCCCCAGTGTTCTCAGGCTAAAGCCAAAGGACAGCACTGCATCAGCTGCTAGGAAGAGAACTGAAAGTATCGCAGCCGATATGGTCACACTGGGCTTTGCCAGAGATGCCAGGAGCCTGCTGCCTTCCAGAGCTCCAGGAAAGCACCCACTGCTCAGAGACCCACTTTCTGGCCAGCACCCCATCATTTGCAGGTGGAGGGTAGCTGGGTAGGTGGCAGCAGTGCACAGATCATCCTCTCAGAAGCTCTTTTCTGGTGCCATTGGCTGCAGCCCTGATGTTCACCTCCTTCCTCCTCCCAGCCTCCCTAGGTTCTCGTTCCTTTTCGTATAGCTCCTGGCTCTGGACATGGGCCAGTCACGGCAAAGGGCTCCCCAGTCATGGCAAAAGGCTCCCCAGTCATGGCAAAAAGCTCCCCCATCCCCACAGGCACAGCACATCCCTGGGCTGCCAAAGTTTTCACGTGAGTCCTGGGAAGCAGCTCAGCCTCTGGAGGCAGCCTGGAGGCAGCATGAAAAGAATTGGCTTGGGTTTGGGGTTCTCCTGAGGGAGACCCGAGTGCTGTGACCCTGTCTGTGTCCCCTCAGGTAACGGGATGGAAGGAAAGAGAGGACAAGGCACTGACTCAGAGGAGCCTCTGGGGAAGAATCAAGGACGGGAGGGCCGGGAGCAGCTGGGGCGCTTCCTCTCAGCGGAATCATACAAAACCCAGCCCAGTGACCCCAGGCTGACATCACCGGCCTGCAATGGACCCCTCTGGCACTTGCTTTGTGTCTTCTGCCCACACTGATGCACGCTTGTCCCAGAAATCATGGCACCTCTCATCCCAGCGCTCAGAAGAAGCAATAGTGAGGGAACAGACATGACGTAAACCTGGAAGCGCAAGGGCAGCATAGAGGGAATCAGCAGCACGTGCCGTGTCATTACCTGCGATGTTTCCGTTCATCGGGAACGTGCAGGACAATCGTTGCCTGTGCAGTGCCTGCCTTTGTGCCTGAGGCACTGCGGGGGCAGTATAAAAGCCAGCCCAACGGGTCACTCTCTCCAGCTCTTCTGCCTCCAACCTCTCCTTGGGAACCAGGTGAGCTGGAGCCCCCATTCTCACCCACTCCTCCCATGGGACAGGGTGCAGCCTGCAGGGACATTTCCGCTGATACCTGCTCCTTGGTGCTGTGTTAGTGCTCCGAGGTGGTGGCGGTGGGAGAGGGCAGAGCAGAGAGGGTCTGTCATGCCGAGAGCCTGGGGATGGGCCGGGGTGGCTCTTTGGCTGCACACTGGTGCTAAGATGCTCAGTGAAGGTGTGGCAGGGCTGAGGCAAAGGGTCCCTTGTTCCCCGTGCGCAGGCTCCAGCTCCCCACGGGAGGTGCCTTGTGCTCCCTTGGGTGTCTCTGCAGGCTGCTCCTCACGGGTCCCTGTGCTCTGCTCCCTCCCTGCCCTCTCTGCCAGGTGAAGCTGCAGCCCCGAGCCATGTCCTGCCCGGAGAAGTGCCAGACGTGCGAGCCCTGCCAGCCCTGCCGGCCCTGCCAGCCCTGCGGCCCGACCCCGCTGGCCAACAGCTGCAATGAGTGCTGTGTCAGGCAGTGCCAGAGCTCCACCGTCGTCATCGAGCCCTCCCCGGTGGTGGTGACCCTGCCCGGCCCCATCCTCAGCTCCTTCCCTCAGAACACCGTTGTGGGCTCCTCCACCTCCGCCGCCGTTGGCAGCATCCTCAGCTCCGAGGGAGTGCCCATCAACTCCGGGGGCTTCGACCTCTCCTGCATCACCAACCGCTACTGCGGCTCCAGGTGCAGACCCTGCTAAAGCCACCGCTGACAGCCCAGCCAAGGAGCCCCGCGAACCCAGCAGATGACGCCAGACTGAACGACGGAGACTGCGGCCGTGCCTCGGAGAGGGGCTGAGCGTGCCCCGCTCCTCCTCAAAGGGAGGCAGCCCTGGGCAAGGGGCCAGCCCGGGCTCTCTGCAAACACGGCCGCTGCCTCTCATTCCCTTCCTCCACTCTCTGCTTTCCCTCCTTTGCCTTCCTTGCTTTCTGCTCCCTGCAGCCTTGAGGGCCAGTGAAGACAGCTGATGGGGAACTTGCCCACTAATGGTTTTTGTGTGGCACTGATCCTTGGCTGCTCATAGGAACCCTTAACCTGTGGCCTCCTCTCGAGACATCATTTCCCTCTTTGGACTCATTAAACTCTGATGCATCCCAGTCTCTGGCTCTGTGTGGTCCTTTCCTCTCTGGATGCTCTCGAATGCTGTCCAGGGAGCAAGGACATATTCTGGGAGGGAATAAGTGTGTGAACCACGGGACCCTTTCTCATTCCAAGTGCACTGGGATGGCAGGAATACACACTCTGGGCTCCCAGCATGCCCTACAGAGTGTGATGCCAACCTGAGCTCTCTTCCAGTTGGGAAGATGCCAGTGCTGCAGGAGGCCCTGGGATGTCAGCAGCCCAACCGGCACCCGAGGCAGCTCCTGTGCAATGGAGCTGTGCCAGGGGAGAAGGCTCAGAGGGAAGGGGCAGCAGGGATGCAAGGAGGGGATGGTAAGAGAGATCACCTTGGCTAGAGCCCAGAGCCTCCTTCTCCTCTTCCCCTTCCCACCCATCTTCAGCAGGAAGAGACACGCCGTGTGTCCGAGGACAAGGACAGCAAGGCCATGTTGCCTGTTCCTCTATCACCCCCATAGAGTGCCCCACGCAGCCCCAGGGGTTCAGTGCACAGATGTGCAGGGCGGATGTCTCTTGAGACTGCACATCCCCAACTGCCAGCACAGAGCCACCCCGTGGCAAAAGGGTTATTCACATGGGCCTGCAAGAGGACACTGATGAGTGCCTGACAAGTCCTGCCATGGTGTTGTGTAAAGAGCTCAGGCCATTCTCCCTTTATGGCAAGTGCAGTCCTATGCTAGGGTGCTGAGGAAGAAGAGTTCCCTGCTAGAAGCTCTCACCACCGTCTTGTTCTCCCTATGGCCACTCAGCCCAGCCCCTGACAGGAATATTATATTCGCCTGCATACCTCTGGGTGTATAAGGACAATATAGGGCTGCCTGGGGAGAACTGAGGGCCATCTTCCCCCAGCTCAGCCTTGCACAGAATGGCCTCCTGCCACCATGCCAGAAGAGAACCATACTGTGCCAATCTGCCTATCTCTGTCCTCTCCTATAGCCTGCAAATCATGAGGAACAGCATTTGGTACTTACAACTCAGTAAATAAGGGCAACAAAGACAAATGAGATTTTCTCGATGGGTCTCAGAAAACCTGGCAGGAAATGTGTTGCGAAAGAGGGCAAATGGGGAATGCCTGATATGGATAAGATAAGCATGTGAATGAGGTCTGATATGATCAAGGGACCGGCAGTTTCTGCTCTGGAATCTGTTCGGATAAGGGACAAAACCACCCTTGAAACACCTTCACCCCATCCCACCTCTTTTTCACAGACTCAACTTCCCTCCTTAGTTAAAGCTCCACCATTAAGCAGCACAGCAGGATGTGGACAGGGGATTTGTGGTCAGTATACAACAGTTTCTGCACATCATGAGGGTCACACAAGGACAGACTGACACACGTGTGCTCAGGCATATCTTCATGGAACCCTGCCCATATCTGTACGCTCACACAATGCCAGAAACATCAGCACGTGGGGACTCTGCTGAGGAGATGCTGAGACCGCACTGGCACAACAGGGCTCAGGTAGGGCAGGGAAGGGCCAGGCCCCAGACATGCTCCTGGTGTTCCCTGAGGACCCACAGAACCTGCACAGAGCAGGGATGAGGCACAAGAGCCCAGCACAGGTGTCCTGAGAGCACTCTTGGTGTTGCAGTAGGGTCCAGCCCTGCCAGCAGAAGCCCATCTGCACACAGCAATGGCCTTCCCTCAGAGAGCTGAGGGGAGCAAGAGGAAAGGCTGTGCCATGTCCTCTCCTGTGGCAGTCCTTGGGCATGCGGAAGAGAAGCACGAGAGCGGTGCCCATTTCCCACAGTGTGGCCACAAGCAAGCCCACAGGAATGAGCCAGGAGCACATCCCCTGCCTGCACGGGATGCACCAGCCCTTGATGGGAGGCTTCTGCTGCGCTCACGTGGTTCTGCCCCGGAAACCCTTGGGCTTCTCACCCCGGCACTGACAGAAGCCTTCCTATGGCAAAGCACATGAGCCGGGAAATGAAAAGGCAGCAGTGCCGGAAACCGGGACACGGCCCCTGCCATTACCTGGGAGGGTTTGCATTTGCCATGGGCTTGTCAGGAAATTCCTGCTGCCACAGAGGTGCCTGTGGGCCTGAGGCACTGCAGGACGACTATAAAAGGCAGCCCAGGTCTGTGCTCCTCATCCACTTCTCTGGCCTCCTTCTCCTGGCAATCAGGTGAGTGCGAAGCCTCTTGTGCTGCTGCTTCCAGAGCAGGTCGTTCCTCCCCGGGGCTCTCAGCTGATGGGGGCTGTGCTAGCGCAGGGCTGGGAGCTGCTTCTCGGGGCAGAGGGAAGGGGAGAGAAGGGCTTGTGCAGAGAGAGGCTGGGACTGAGCTGAGGCGGCTGCTGGGCTTGGAGGTGGTCAGCGTGTGCTGGGCCAGGAAGTGCCTTGGCTTGCCCAGGCTTGGGTGCAGAGCTGCTGCTGCCGTGTCCCATCCTCTGCTTGCCCCTGCCCTGTGTCCAGGTGAAGCTCCAGCATCCAGACATGTCCTGCTGCAACCCGTGCGTGCCCTGCCAGCCCTGCGGCCCGACCCCGCTGGCCAACAGCTGCAATGAGTGCTGTGTCAGGCAGTGCCAGAGCTCCACCGTCGTCATTGAGCCTTCCCCCGTGGTGGTGACCCTGCCCGGCCCCATCCTCAGCTCCTTCCCTCAGAACACCGTTGTGGGCTCCTCCACCTCTGCTGCCGTTGGCAGCATCCTCAGCTGTGAGGGAGTGCCCATCAACTCCGGGGGCTTCGACCTCTCCTGCATCACCAATCGCTACTGCGGCACCAGGTGCAGACCCTGCTAAAGCTGCTGGCTGCGTCCTCAGGCAGGAACATCCACGACCTCACACCATGGATCTGCAGAGGAGATAGAGCTTCGCGGCGCTGTTTCCTTCTCCCACTCTCCTCTCCATTCCTTTCCTGTCTCCACCTCCCGCACCAGCCCCGTGGGGACCTCTTGGCCTCCCTCCCTCCCTCCCAGTGAGGGACAGGCAGACGGACACCCTGCAGGAGCTGCACTGCCTCTTGGTGGCTGCCCCTGGTGCTCCCTGGGAGCCACCTCCTTTTCTTCTTTACCCTCATTAAAGTTGTGCTGCATCCAAGCCTGGGCCTCCGAGTCCTCCTTCCTTCTGTGGGAAATCCTCAAGTCTGCTTCCCCTTGGAGGTGACAAAGACATCCTTGGCTACTCCACTGGCCGTGGCCATCAGTGAGAGCTAGTTCCAAAGGGTGGCAGGAATTGCCGTGAGGAAACCATAGTGTCCAGGGACAGCCCACAGCCTCCTCTCTGCCTTCTTCTCCCCTACATCACCCAGGACACTACCCCTACATGCCCAGCAGACGTGGACACAAACAGATGAGATCCTACCTCATAGAGTCCTACAGCACCAGGCAGGGCCCAGCTCTATACTTGCATGCAGGGCTGAGGTAACCCAGGAAGGAAAATGACAGTGGTAACATCAGAGTCCCCCAAGTCAGGTGACACACATGGGGAGCTGATAAAAATCCCCATAAATCATGAATAAATTTTGCTCCGCTTACTCGTACACATTTCTATGGGTCCGAAAGGTTGCACCCAGGAATACTGAAGGATGTGCCAGTGCAGCTTGCCAAGCCAGTCTCCACCATTACTCACCAGTCCTGGTTCCTGAAGGGCAGGTGCTGTTTGACCAACCTGATCTCTTTCTATGACAAAGTGACCAACCTGATTGATGACGGAAGGGCTGAGGACGCTGTCCAGTGTTGTTTCATGTTTTCACCGAGGATCTGGATGAGGGGATGGAGGGCACCCTCAATGACTTTGTGGACAACATCAAGTTGGGTGGGAGTGTTGATCTTCCGAAGGGTAGGAATCTCAGGAGAGGGATCTGGACAAGCTGGATCCATGGGCTGTGCCCAATAGAATGAGTTTCAACAAGGCAAAGTGCTGTATCCTGCATTTGGGCCACAACAACCCCCTGCAACTCTCCTGACCCAGAAAGTGTGCTGGGAAAGCTGATTCTGGAAAATGACCTTGGGGTACTGATGGATCTGAATATGGCCAATATAGTGCCGAGGCAGCCAAGAGGGCAAATGGAATCCTGTTGTGGATCAGACATAGTGTGGCCAGGAGGGCCAGGGCAGTGCGGCCTCACCTCGAACGCCTTGTTCACTTCGGGCCCTCTCACTACAAGAGACACATTGAGGTGCCGGAGCGGGGCCAGAGAAGGGCAGTGGAGCTGGTGAAGGGCCTGGAGCACGGTGTGATGGGGAACAGCTAAAGGACATAGGGAACTTTAGTCTGGATCTTCTCTCTCTCTCCAGCTACCTGACAGGAGGTTGTAGTGAGGTGGGGTCGGGCTCTTCTGCCCGGTAAGAAGTCATAGGACAAAAGGAAATGCCTCAAGCTACGCCAGGGGAGGTTTAGAGTGGAGATTAGGGCCAATTTCTACATCAAGAGTGTGATCAGGAATTGGAACAGGCTGCCCAGGGAAGGGGTGCAATTTGAACAGCCCCGGGAGCCTTAAACAATGCGCACATGAGGGCCTTAGTGACAATGATTACTGGTGGATCTGGCTGTGCTGGGGAAGGGTTGCACTTGATGATCTTAAAGGTCTTTTCCTGAAATACAATGAGATCCTGCTGGGGGGGCTGAGTTCACAGGAAGTGGGGACGCAGTTGGACAGCCTGGGTTGGCTGATGCCAGTCCCAAGTGATGGGTTACCTCAGCCCTGCATACCTGGAAAGAGCCGGCCCCTCCCAGGTACTGAAGGCCTGTATGAGGCAGGATCTCATCTGCCTGTGCCCATGTGCCCTGGGCATGTAAGGGTGGTGTGCTGGGTGATGTAGGGGAGAAGAACTCAGGGAGAAGAGCAGAGAAGATGTGTGCTATTCCTGAGCAGTATTGTCTCATGCCCACTCCTGCCACCCTTCGGAGCCATGCTCTCACTGATGGCCATTGTTGGCGGAGTAGCCACGGATGTATTTATGACCTCCAAGGGGAAGCAGACTTGAGAATTTCCCACAGAAGGAAGGAGGACTCAGAGGCCCAGGCTTGGATGCAGCACAACTTTAATGAGGGTAAAGAAGAAAAGGAGGTGGCTCCCAGGGAGCACCAGGGGCAGCCACCAAGAGGCGGTGCAGCTCCTGCAGGGTGTCCGTCTGCCTGTCCCTCACTGGGAGGGAGAGAGGGAGGGAGGGAGGCCAAGAGGTCCCCACGGGACTGGTGCGGGAGGTGGAGACAGGAAAGGAATGGAGAGGACAGTGGGAGAAGGAAACAGCGCCGCGAAGCTCTATCTCCTGTGCAGATCCATGGTGTGAGGTCGTGGATGTTCCTGCCTGAGGACGCAGCCAGCAGCTTTAGCAGGGTCTGCACCTGGTGCCGCAGTAGCGGTTGGTGATGCAGGAGAGGTCGAAGCCCCCGGAGTTGATGGGCACTCCCTCACAGCTGAGGATGCTGCCAACGGCGGCGGAGGTGGAGGAGCCCACAACGGTGTTCTGAGGGGAGGAGCTGAGGATGGGGCCGGGCAGGGTCACCACCACGGGGGAAGGCTCAATGACGACGGTGGAGCTCTGGCACTGCCTGACACAGCACTCATTGCAGCTGTTGGCCAGCGGGGTCGGGCCGCAGGGCTGGCAGGGCACGCACGGGTTGCAGCAGGACATGTCTGGATGCTGGAGCTTCACCTGGACACAGGGCAGGGGCAAGCAGAGGATGGGACACGGCAGCAGCAGCTCTGCACCCAAGCCTGGGCAAGCCAAGGCACCTCCTGGCCCAGCACACGCTGACCACCTCCAAGCCCAGCAGCCGCCTCAGCTCAGTCCCAGCCTCTCTCTGCACAAGCCCTTCTCTCCCCTTCCCTCTGCCCCCCGAGAAGCAGCTCCCAGGCCTGCGCTAGCACAGCCCCCATCAGCTGAGAGCCCCGGGGAGGAACGACCTGCTCTGGAAGCAGCAGCAGAAGAGGCTTTGAACTCACCTGATTGCCAGGAGAAGGAGGCCAGAGAAGTGGATGAGGAGCACAGACCTGGGCTGCCTTTTATAGTCGTCCTGCAGTGCCTCAGGCCCACAGGCACCTCTGTGGCAGCAGGAATTTCCTGGCAAGCCCATGGCAAATTCAAACCCTCCCAGGTAATGGCAGGGGCCGTGTCCCGGTTTCCGGCACTGCTGCCTTTTCATTTCCCGGCTCATGTGCTTTGCCATAGGAAGGCTTCTGTCAGTGCCGGGGTGAGAAGCCCAAGGGTTTCCGGGGCAGAACCACGTGAGCGCAGCAGAAGCCTCCCATCAAGGGCTGGTGCATCCCGTGCAGGCAGGGGATGTGCTCCTGGCTCATTCCTGTGGGCTTGCTTGTGGCCACGCTGTGGGAAATGGGCACCGCTCTCGTGCTTCTCTTCCGCATGCCCAAGGACTGCCACAGGAGAGGACATGGCACAGCCTTTCCTCTTGCTCCCCTCAGCTCTCTGAGGGAAGGCCATTGCTGTGTGCAGATGGGCTTCTGCTGGCAGGGCTGGACCCTACTGCAACACCAAGAGTGCTCTCAGGACACCTGTGCTGGGCTCTTGTGCCTCATCCCTGCTCTGTGCAGGTTCTGTGGGTCCTCAGGGAACACCAGGAGCATGTCTGGGGCCTGGTCCTTCCCTGCCCTACCTGAGCCCTGTTGTGCCAGTGCTGTCCCAGCATCTCCTCAGCAGAGTCCCCACGTGCTGATGTTTCTGGCATTGTGTGAGCGTACAGATATGGGCAGGGTTCCATGAGCACGCGTGTCTCGGTCCCTCCTCGTGTGACCCTCATCATGAGGGTACAGGCACACCATCGCTTGTGCTTGTGATACAGGTGAACCACCAAAAGCCTTTTCATGAGCAGATCCAGCAATGTCCCACTTTACATGTTCAGAACCCGTTGTGCGCTGAAAACAAGGCCCCAGGGCACATCCCGCTGTGCTGCTGAATGGTGAAGCAGTGAATGAAGGAGGGAATGGGGTCTGTGAAAAAGAGGGGGGATGGGGTGAAGGTATTTGGGGATGAGGTGAACCTATGTTCAGAGGCTTTGGAATTTCCTCCCCGTCCTACTCTTTTCCATTGGCGATAGGTTCAATGAATGTCCATCACGTCAGGTCTGTTTCAGCCCTGATCGCAATTGGTACTTATGTCTCTGTGTTTATCTCAACCCGTGACCTTTTTCTCCTGACTTTCTCCTCCTGTCCTCTTGGGCAAGGAGAGGGAGAAAGCAGCAGAGTGGCTCTGGGAGACAGCCAAGGTCCTTTTGGTTCTGCGCCCATTATGGCAACTGCCTGTGCTGTGAGTGTGTGTCTTGTATATGTTTTCTTCCTGCTTTCTCTCGGTGCTTCCGGGAGCAGGCTCTTTCTCCCTCTGTTGCTCCCCTCAGAGGATGAAGGGCAATGATGTCACTTGGTCGTTGTGCTTGCCTGCCTGGGAACGTGCGACTTGCGGCAGGTTCCCAGCCATGGGCAGAGCACAGCCCCGCAACGCTCTTGGCACAGCCTCACATGAACAGCAATACCCCAAACGCCACATCACCATGGCAGGACTTGTCAGGCACTCATCAGTGTCCTCTTGCAGGCGTATGTGAATAACCCTTTTGCCACGGGGTGGCTGTGTGCTGGCGGTTGGGGATGTGCAGTCTCGAGTGACATCCGCCCTGCACATCTGTGCACTGAACCCCTGGGGCTGCGTGGGGCACTCTATGGGGGTGATAGAGGAACAGGCAACATGGCCTTGCTGTCCTTGTCCTCGGACACACGGCGTGTCTCTTCCTGCTGAAGATGGGTGGGAAGGCGAGGAGGAGAAGGAGGCTCTGGGCTCTAGCCAAGGTGATCTCTCTTACCATCCCCTCCTTGCATCCCCGCTGCCCCCTTCCCTCTGAGCCTTCTCCCCTGGCACAGCTCCATGCACACAGGAGCTGCCTCGGGTGCCGGTTGGGCTGCTGACATCCCAGGGCCTCCTGCAGCACTGGCATCTTTCCAAGTGGAAGAGAGCTCAGGTTGGCATCACACTCTGTAGGGCATGCTGGGAGCCCAAGGAGTATATTTCCACACTCCCAGTGCACTTGGAATGAGAAAGAATCCAGTGGTTCACACACTTGCCAGCATATCTCTTTGCTCCCTGGACAGCATTCGAGAGCATCCAGAGAGGAAAGGACTACATAGAGCCAGAGACTGGGATGCATCAGAGTTTAATGAGTCCAAAGAGGGAAACGATGTCTCGAGAGGAGGCCACAGGTTAAGGGTTCCTATGAGCAGCCAAGGATCAGTGCCACACAAAAACCATTAGTGGGCAAGTTCCCCATCAGCTGTCTTCACTGGCCCTCAAGGCTGCAGGGGGCAGAAAGCAAGAAAGGCAAAGGAGGGAAAGCAGAGAGTGGAGGAAGGGAATGAGAGGCAGCGGCCGTGTTTGCAGAGAGCCCGGGCTGGCCCCTTGCCCAGGGCTGCCTCCCTTTGAGGAGGAGCGGGGCACGCTCAGCCCCTCTCCGAGGCACGGCCGCAGTCTCCGTCGTTCAGTCTGGCGTCATCTGCTGGGTTCGCGGGGCTCCTTGGCTGGGCTGTCAGCGGCGGCTTTAGCAGGGTCTGCACCTGGAGCCGCAGTAGCGGTTGGTGATGCAGGAGAGGTCGAAGCCCCCGGAGTTGATGGGCACTCCCTCGGAGCTGAGGATGCTGCCAACGGCGGCGGAGGTGGAGGAGCCCACAACGGTGTTCTGAGGGAAGGAGCTGAGGATGGGGCCGGGCAGGGTCACCACCACCGGGGAGGGCTCGATGACGACGGTGGAGCTCTGGCACTGCCTGACACAGCACTCATTGCAGCTGTTGGCCAGCGGGGTCGGGCCGCAGGGCTGGCAGGGCCGGCAGGGCTGGCAGGGCTCGCACGTCTGGCACTTCTCCGGGCAGGACATGGCTCGGGGCTGCAGCTTCACCTGGCAGAGAGGGCAGGGAGGGAGCAGAGCACAGGGACCCGTGAGGAGCAGCCTGCAGAGACACCCAAGGGAGCACAAGGCACCTCCCGTGGGGAGCTGGAGCCTGCGCACGGGGAACAAGGGACCCTTTGCCTCAGCCCTGCCACACCTTCACTGAGCATCTTAGCACCAGTGTGCAGCCAAAGAGCCACCCCGGCCCATCCCCAGGCTCTCGGCATGACAGACCCTCTCTGCTCTGCCCTCTCCCACCGCCACCACCTCGGAGCACTAACACAGCACCAAGGAGCAGGTATCAGCGGAGATGTCCCTGCAGGCTGCACCCTGTCCCATGGGAGGAGTGGGTGAGAATGGGGGCTCCAGCTCACCTGGTTCCCAAGGAGAGGTTGGAGGCAGAAGAGCTGGAGAGAGTGACCCGTTGGGCTGGCTTTTATACTGCCCCCGCAGTGCCTCAGGCACAAAGGCAGGCACTGCACAGGCAACGATTGTCCTGCACGTTCCCGATGAACGGAAACATCGCAGGTAATGACACGGCACGTGCTGCTGATTCCCTCTATGCTGCCCTTGCGCTTCCAGGTTTACGTCATGTCTGTTCCCTCACTATTGCTTCTTCTGAGCGCTGGGATGAGAGGTGCCATGATTTCTGGGACAAGCGTGCATCAGTGTGGGCAGAAGACACAAAGCAAGTGCCAGAGGGGTCCATTGCAGGCCGGTGATGTCAGCCTGGGGTCACTGGGCTGGGTTTTGTATGATTCCACTGAGAGGAAGCGCCTCAGGTGCCAAAACACCAGTGATGCTCAATGCAATTGCTCAGCCCCCACTGACTGACACCAGCTCGGCCCAAGCAGTGATCAGTCCCTTCCGGCTAACTCCCCACAGCTGCTGTCCCAACATGACATGGTAAGGAATATCGCTTTGGCTAGTTTGGGTCAAGTCCTGTCTGTTCCCTCCTGGCTTCCTGTGCTTCTCCTCACTGACAGAGCACAAATACTGAAAAGTCCTTGATCAGTATAAGAGCTACTGAGCAACAGCTAAACCATCAGTGAATCCCCAGTGTTCTCAGGCTAAAGCCAAAGGACAGCACTGCATCAGCTGCTAGGAAGAGAACTGAAAGTATCGCAGCCGATATGGTCACACTGGGCTTTGCCAGAGATGCCAGGAGCCTGCTGCCTTCCAGAGCTCCAGGAAAGCACCCACTGCTCAGAGACCCACTTTCTGGCCAGCACCCCATCATTTGCAGGTGGAGGGTAGCTGGGTAGGTGGCAGCAGTGCACAGATCATCCTCTCAGAAGCTCTTTTCTGGTGCCATTGGCTGCAGCCCTGATGTTCACCTCCTTCCTCCTCCCAGCCTCCCTAGGTTCTCGTTCCTTTTCGTATAGCTCCTGGCTCTGGACATGGGCCAGTCATGGCAAAGGGCTCCACAGTCATGGCAAAAAGCTCCCCCATCCCCACGGGCACAGCACATCCCTGGGCTGCCGAAGTTTTCACGTGAGTCCTGGGAAGCAGCTCAGCCTCTGGAGGCAGCCTGGAGGCAGCATGAAAAGAATTGGCTTGGGTTTGGGGTTCTCCTGAGGGAGACCCGAGTGCTGTGACCCTGTCTGTGTCCCCTCAGGTAACGGGATGGAAGGAAAGAGAGGACAAGGCACTGACTCAGAGGAGCCTCTGGGGAAGAATCAAGGACGGGAGGGCCGGGAGCAGCTGGGGCGCTTCCTCTCAGCGGAATCATACAAAACCCAGCCCAGTGACCCCAGGCTGACATCACCGGCCTGCAATGGACCCCTCTGGCACTTGCTTTGTGTCTTCTGCCCACACTGATGCACGCTTGTCCCGGAAATCATGGCACCTCTCATCCCAGCGCTCAGAAGAAGCAATAGTGAGGGAACAGACATGACGTAAACCTGGAAGCGCAAGGGCAGCATAGAGGGAATCAGCAGCACGTGCCGTGTCATTACCTGCGATGTTTCCGTTCATCGGGAACGTGCAGGATAATCGTTGCCTGTGCAGTGCCTGCCTTTGTGCCTGAGGCACTGCGGGGGCAGTATAAAAGCCAGCCCAACGGGTCACTCTCTCCAGCTCTTCTGCCACCAGCCTCTCCTTGGGAACCAGGTGAGCTGGAGCCCCCATTCTCACCCACTCCTCCCATGGGACAGGGTGCAGCCTGCAGGGACATTTCCGCTGATACCTGGTGCTGTGTTAGTGCTCCGAGGTGGTGGCGGTGGGAGAGGGCAGAGCAGAGAGGGTCTGTCATGCCGAGAGCCTGGGGATGGGCCGGGGTGGCTCTTTGGCTGCACACTGGTGCTAAGATGCTCAGTGAAGGTGTGGCAGGGCTGAGGCAAAGGGTCCCTTGTTCCCCGTGCGCAGGCTCCAGCTCCCCACGGGAGGTGCCTTGTGCTCCCTTGGGTGTCTCTGCAGGCTGCTCCTCACGGGTCCCTGTGCTCTGCTCCCTCCCTGCCCTCTCTGCCAGGTGAAGCTGCAGCCCCGAGCCATGTCCTGCCCTGAGAAGTGCCAGACGTGCGAGCCCTGCCAGCCCTGCCGGCCCTGCCAGCCCTGCGGCCCGACCCCGCTGGCCAACAGCTGCAATGAGTGCTGTGTCAGGCAGTGCCAGAGCTCCACCGTCGTCATCCAGCCCTCCCCGGTGGTGGTGACCCTGCCCGGCCCCATCCTCAGCTCCTCCCCTCAGAACACCGTTGTGGGCTCCTCCACCTCCGCCGCCGTTGGCAGCATCCTCAGCTGTGAGGGAGTGCCCATCAACTCCGGGGGCTTCGACCTCTCCTGCATCACCAACCGCTACTGCGGCTCCAGGTGCAGACCCTGCTAAAGCCACCGCTGACAGCCCAGCCAAGGAGCCCCGCGAACCCAGCAGATGACGCCAGACTGAACGACGGAGACTGCGGCCGTGCCTCGGAGAGGGGCTGAGCGTGCCCCGCTCCTCCTCAAAGGGAGGCAGCCCTGGGCAAGGGGCCAGCCCGGGCTCTCTGCAAACACGGCCGCTGCCTCTCATTCCCTTCCTCCACTCTCTGCTTTCCCTCCTTTGCCTTTCTTGCTTTCTGCCCCCTGCAGCCTTGAGGGCCAGTGAAGACAGCTGATGGGGAACTTGCCCACTAATGGTTTTTGTGTGGCACTGATCCTTGGCTGCTCATAGGAACCCTTAACCTGTGGCCTCCTCTCGAGACATCGTTTCCCTCTTTGGACTCATTAAACTCTGATGCATCCCAGTCTCTGGCTCTGTGTAGTCCTTTCCTCTCTGGATGCTCTCGAATGCTGTCCAGGGAGCAAAGAGATATGCTGGCAAGTGTGTGAACCACTGGATTCTTTCTCATTCCAAGTGCACTGGGATGGCAGGAATACACACTCTGGGCTCCCAGCATGCCCTACAGAGTGTGATGCCAACCTGAGCTCTCTTCCACTTGGAAAGATGCCAGTGCTGCAGGAGGCCCTGGGATGTCAGCAGCCCAACCGGCACCCGAGGCAGCTCCTGTGCAATGGAGCTGTGCCAGGGGAGAAGGCTCAGAGGGAAGGGGCAGCGGGGATGCAAGGAGGGGATGGTAAGAGAGATCACCTTGGCTAGAGCCCAGAGCCTCCTTCTCCTCCTCGCCTTCCCACCCATCTTCAGCAGGAAGAGACATGCCGTGTGTCCAAGGTCAAGGACAGCAAGGCCATGTTGCCTGTTCCTCTATCACCCCCATAGAGTGCCCCACGCAGCCCCAGGGGTTCAGTGCACAGATGTGCAGGGCGGATGTCACTCGAGACTGCACATCCCCAACTGCCAGCACACAGCCACCCCGTGGCAAAAGGGTTATTCACATACACCTGCAAGAGGACACTGATGAGTGCCTGACAAGTCCTGCCATGGTGATGTGGCGTTTGGGGTATTGCTGTTCATGTGAGGATGTGCCAAGAGCGTTGCGGGGCTGTGCTCTGCCCATGGCTGGGAACCTGCCGCAAGTCGCACGTTCCCAGGCAGGCAAGCACAACGACCAAGTGACATCATTGCCCTTCATCCTCCGAGGGGAGCAACAGAGAAAGAAAGAGCCTGCTCCCGGAAGCACCGAGAGAAATCAGGAAGAAAACATATACAAGACACACACTCACAGCACAGGCAGTTGCCATAATGGGCGCAGAACCAAAAGGACCTTGGCTGTCTCCCAGAGCCACTCTGCTGCTTTCTCCCTCTCCTTGCCCAAGAGGACAGGAGGAGAAAGTCAGGAGAAAAAGGTCACGGGTTGAGATAAACACAGAGACATAAGTACCAATTGCGATCAGGGCTGAAACAGACCTGACGTGATGGACATTCATTGAACCTATCGCCAATGGAAAAGAGTAGGACGGGGAGGAAATTCCAAAGCCTCTGAACATAGGTTCACCTCATCCCCAAATACCTTCACCCCATCCCCCCTCTTTTTCACAGACCCCATTCCCTCCTTCATTCACGGCTTCACCATTCAGCAGCACAGCGGGATGTGCCCTGGGGCCTTGTTTTCAGCGCACAACGGGTTCTGAACATGTAAAGTGGGACATTGCTGGATCTGCTCATGAAAAGGCTTTTGGTGGTTCACCTGTATCACAAGCACAAGCGATGGTGTGCCTGTACCCTCATGATGAGGGTCACACGAGGAGGGACCGAGACACGCGTGCTCATGGAACCATGCCCATATCTGTACGCTCACACAATGCCAGAAACATCAGCACGTGGGGACTCTGCTGAGGAGATGCTGGGACAGCACTGGCACAACAGGGCTCAGGTAGGGCAGGGAAGGACCAGGCCCCAGACATGCTCCTGGTGTTCCCTGAGGACCCACAGAGCCTGCACAGAGCACGGATGAGGCACAAGAGCCCAGCACAGGTGTCCTGAGAGCACTGTTGGTGTTGCAGTAGGGTCCAGCCCTGCCAGCAGAAGCCCATCTGCACACAGCAATGGCCTTCCCTCAGAGAGCTGAGGGGAGCAAGAGGAAAGGCTGTGCCATGTCCTCTCCTGTGGCAGTC